CGCACTCAAGTGAAGAAGGTGAAGCCTGTTGAAGTGATGGGTAAGACTGGTACTTTTGAGAAAAATGTGAGAGATACTAATGCAATGATTGAGACTGACTTTGAGACTCTCTGCTATAAATTTGGGATACTCTCAGTTGGGAAACCCACTGCTGGTGATTGTGAGAGAGACTTGCCTCTGTATAATGCTTTTTTAGTGGGGAGGCAACAGTTAAAAATGTGAAGAGTACTGATATTGGGGTTGCACCAATGTCCTATAAACAGAATGCTAAATTAAATGTAGTAGGGGTGACCACTAAGCAGGATGTGTTATCTCCCCTAGCAACGGTGGTTAAGGTAACCCAGGATAACTATGCTGTTGCTCTGGTGGACCAGAGCGTATCTGAATTGAGTGATGAGAATTTGTTATTTCAGTGTGGCAATGGTGAATCTAAAAGGTATGAATGTATTCATAATGATGAGTCAATGCAATCCACTAATGCAAAAGTTTTTGTAGTGAATGACACGCCACTAGGCCACGGTGGTGAGAGTGTGAAATTGCAACCTGCTGTGCCTAGAAAAGGAGTCTCTCAGTGTGATATGGATTATGAAGATATAGGTAATGGGTCTGATACAGAGCCACTCTGTCCCTCTGTGTCTCCTTCAGCGGTTGGAGTGGTACTGCGTAGTACCTCTGATAGGATCACAGGGACAATGGACTGGGACAGATGGGCAACAAGCTTGTTGGCAATAATAAAAGATGCCTCTGTGGGTAACAATGGGGTGGACACAACTTCTGCTGTGCTGAATAGAGGGACTGTGGAGCAGCTATTAGTCCAGGGTGCTCCTGTCGCTGCCAAAAATAACCCACCGCTGGTAAAAGGCACCGTTAAGGATAAACGCTCAGCAGAAGTTTTGCCCACAGCCCATAAAGGAGTTAATGGTGTGGTATACCAAACTGATATCCATAGAGAAGCCATGGAAGAGCTCATTGACACTGAGCCTCAGAGTATTTGGGTGAATCCCACACCTGGTTACGCTCTGGGAGAGCCCCAGGTTATTGTATTGGGTACCTCCAGCCGAGAGGAAGCCTCTTTAAGAAGCACCACCTCTGAGGCATCAGTAAATGAGTGTCTCCATGTCTCCAGGAAGGTCTTATGTGTGGAATCAGGCTGTCTTTTTATAACAGACCTGCTGAAGGAAATGTTAGCCTTCTGGAGTGTACAGCCGGTGTATACCTTGCTGTCTCTTCCATGTTCAGGAGAGCTGGTACAGTGGAGTCCCGCTAATCGGAGCTTGGTATTACAGGCTATACAAAACAAACATGGTCAATATAGGAATTCTGTGATACCATCCTTGTTGGTAATGGTAAAAATTGTCTTTCAGTGCATTGCTGGGTTGCTTCATAGCAGTAATCTGTATGAGAGGCACACCAGAGTACTGCTTGACAGGACAGAGGTTTGGACAGAAGTACCGGAAAACACAGGTATATGTGATGTGGTTGGGGTCGCCAACCCTAATGTAGCATTATGTAAGGATGGTTTGGTGTCAGGACAATTGCTGGCAGAGTCTTTTGTGACAGCGAAGTCAAGGGGTAGTGACGTTTCCATGGGAGACACCCACTCCGCTGTGTGTAATTCCTCTCCAGAAACTGCCCTGCCAACTACTAGTGAACTGAGCTCTGACAAGAGTAATTTTGATATTGATAAAAAGGGAAATGTATTGATGAATTTGGATTGTCTGATTACTGTGTGTGATAACAAAAAGAATGGTAGACCTGGTGGTCAAGTTGACATGGTAGCTTGTCATCCTGAAAAAGGTAATGAGTGCTTAACAGACACAAGAGAGGTTAAGAGTATAGTAATAGCCCCCTACAGGATCGGGAAGGTAAACTTGGGAAAGATTTCCAAAGGTCCTGGAAACTACCAAGTTTTAAGAATGAAAGGTCTAAGGGAACTGGCCCAAAGCTTAACAAGGGGATGTTAAAAGTGTTTGATTCCCAAATAAGAGAGCCCACCTCTATTACTCAAGGGTCTAAAAATATAACCCCATCAAAATTAAATAAAGCAAAAAGGGATGGTCTAGAGGAATTTGAGGGAGCACGTTGTAATGTTACAGGTACCAGGCATTTAAAGCTTAGGAGTCAACCCCAGGTTACAAAGGGTACTGAGATTTGTAAACCCCCTAGTGGTAAAAGGACTAGCATAGTCTTAAGAAAATTAGAAAGACCGCGCTTTTGGAAGCGCACTCGTAAAAAGGCACGGGGGATGTCGTAGAGCCCAAGTAAGTGGAGACAGGGGAAGTCACCTCTTGGGGCAGGGAGTTGTGTCTCCCTTTGATGAAAATCAAGTCAGCCAGGATTGGACCTTTACAGGTGATAGCCCGCACAGAAGGTCTAAAGCAAGGGTTTTAGGTTTGTGTGTTCCGCCCCCTACGGGGTCAAAACAAAGGGGGGGGGGGATATGTGGCAGTGCGGTGTCCTGCCACGGTCAAACTCAAGTTGAAAACCCTGGATTCTCAACCAGGCAGGTTGAGGGGCTCCAGAAAGTTGATGTATTGCAGAGGAAACTGGCTTTTCGGTTTCCTCATTTATTCATTAAGTTTGTTTTGGGATCTGGAGCCTGGAGATTCAAAGAGATCTGGGAGGGATGAAATCTACAATCGGGGTCCATGTTTTGAGAACCCCCAGCACACTGATTGCACAGGTGTGTGCAGGCCTTTTTATAGAGTCCTAACCATAGTTCTGGGCTCCACCCCGGCAGACGGAGTCAGGAGGGCTCCACCCCGGCAGACAGGAGGTCTCTGCCTTGGAGTCAGGTGAAAGCCAGACTAGCTGTGTGCTAGTGGCCATAATTTGGGAAGAGTCTGCAGGAGACAGACAGTGAACTGTGTACAAGCCAGGAGGCTGAATCTTTGTTGGTATTTCTTGATGGTGGATACCCCTGCGTGGGAAGCATTTTTGTTTTGAACTTTCTTAAATAAAAGTGGGCAAAAAAGCCCTTAAAGAAAGCGAGTAGCTGTGTGCGTTTAAAAGGCTCTACCACCTTGAAGCGAGTTCCCACAACAGACACTAATTGCAATTTAAAAAGCCACAGATGTGTGTGTCACCTTGTGTGTCTGTACCAAGGCCAAACATTCCAGAGTATGTAAACTTTTGATCAGGACTATTTGAGTGATTTTTGTTATCATTATGATTTAGAAAGGAGCCAAACAACTATTTGATAATAAATGGCTTCATATGTTTACTATCCTAAAGTGGTAGTAAACTCTGCTTTTTAAGCCTATAATGTTTACCTTTGGGTACAGTGAATATCTCCTAAACTTGCAGTGTTTAGGAGATGTTTACACAGGATGCAGCCAGTGACATCACCGGTGCATGCGCTCTGTGTCATTGGCATGACTCCTAACACCACGTCGCAGCTTGGCGATTCAAGTGGCCGCAACCCGCAAACCCCCGTAAGTAAAATGTGGTGGAGATAAAACCCTGGAGGGCTTAGTTTTAAGGTAGGTATGTGCATCATACTAGCACATTATGGCCTAATTCAACCAGGGACAATGTTGCTGTTTATTGTTTTTTTAAGTGAAAGTTTACTATCACTTTAAATAAAATACTTTTTTAGCATGATCAGATATATTTTCAATATCAATGCCAACATTTCACGATTTCTGCCAGGGTATGCAAACTTTTGAGTACAACCGTATATGTATTTGAAAATTGATCAATACTGATGTACTGACGGCCTCTCATTTCTTGAGAAACTAAAATGCCAGGACAGTGCAAATATCCACCAAAAGGCCTGTCTTTGGAAAGCAGACAGTAGTAGAAATTGAGTTGAATGGTGAGTTTTAAAGTTGTAATTTTTTTGTCACTTTTTCTTTTTACCAACTGTCCCCAGAGCAGTGTCGTCATATGACTGATGTTGTGGTCAGGGATCCTGACTGGTGTATACATATATAAATGCATACAAAACTTTTTTTTTTACATTTTTAGACTACTTTCACACAACTCAGATGTGTTTTTGTCACATTTGTGGTGCATTTTTCAAAGGACACGTGACTCAAAAACAGCACCAAAGATGCAACGCAGGTGTGTTTTTGGAGCATTTTCCATTGATTCCAATGGGGAGGGGGTTTATTTACCGCACCAAAAATGCAGCAAACAAGACTTAGAAAAATGCAATGGACCCACAACTGATCAGTGTGAAGAGTTCCATGGAATACATGGTCATGTTTTTCTTCCACTTTTTTTTTTAACGCAAAAGAAGACGAAAAATGGTTTAGTGTGAAAGCAGTCTTAATCTGCAATTCTTTTTCTCACATACTGTGACCAGAGCAGTGCAGTGTTAACATAGTGACACTATACTACTCTGGGGAGTTGATCAGGCTTTTTTTTTCTCTACACTACGATTACCACTGTTATAACCAATCAATTTTATGAATGGCATCCATTCATTGCCAGAGTGTACTATTGAGATAGATGTGATTGGTCACAGCTATCACATGGCACAGATGTGCTGTGATTGACCCAGTCTGTACCATGTAATCACTGACCAGTCACAGAGACCATCACAATAATACACAATGAATGGCTATGAATGAAAGCCATTCATTGTGTACAACTGCCATGTAATCGTTGTGATTGGTTACAGCAATCACATGGTACTGGGGCTGGCCCAGTACAACTATTTGCCATCCGCCTGTCCTGGTGGACACAGTGGATGACAGATTGGGCCACAGCACGGTCACTATAGACAAAGGAGACAAGTGTATGGGGGACATCACATCATGTCCACACAAGATAACAAACCGCCACTCAGCCATTTTTTTTTCTTTAACAGTAGGACAGATGGGAAGTAGTTGTCTTAATTCCAGAAATTCAGCCACTTAGTAAAAGTGTGCATGCCACCTCGTGGACTTAGCCCTGTAATTTACATCTGACAGTTCTTTGAGCTTTGGGAGAATAGCCATCATTACATTTCTGGAGCTCAAACATTGGCTCTTCTGGTCTCAGTACCTTCAGCTGCAGAGTCACATGCAGTTGTTACGCCAAATCACAGAGCACATTGTATTAGGTCAGGGGTCCTCAAACCTTTTAAACAGGGGACCAGTTCACTGTCCCTCAGACCATTGGAGGGCTGGACTATAGTTTTAAAAAAAAAAACTATGAACAAATGCGGACACAGTACAGGAGATGACCAGAGACTGCGGACACAGTACAGGAGATGACCAGAGACTGCGAACATAGTACATGAGATGACCAGAGACTGCGAACATAGTACAGGAGATGACCAGAGACTGCGAACATAGTACATGAGATAACCAGAGACTGCGGACACAGTACAGGAGATGACCAGAGACTGCGAACATAGTACAGGAGATGACCAGAGACTGCAAACACTGTACAGGAGATGACCAGAGACTGCGGACACAGTACAGGAGATGACCAGAGACTGCGAACATAGTACATGAGATGACCAGAGACTGCGGACATAGTACAGGAGATGACCAGAGACTGCGAACATAGTACATGAGATAACCAGAGACTGCGGACACAGTACAGGAGATGACCAGAGACTGCGAACATAGTACAGGAGATGACCAGAGACTGCAAAAACACTGTACAGGAGATGACCAGAGACTGCGGACATAGTACAGGAGATGACCAGAGACTGCGGACATAGTACATGAGATGACCAGAGACTGCGGACATAGTACAGGAGATGACCAGAGACTGCGGACACAGTACAGGAGATGACCAGAGACTGCGGACATAGTACATGAGATGACCAGAGACTGCGGACACTGTACAGGAGATGACCAGAGACTGCGGACACAGTACAGGAGATGACCAGAGACTGCGGACACAGTACAGGAGATGACCAGAGACTGCGGACACAGTACAGGAGATGACCAGAGACTGCGGACATACAACGGGCCAGCCACTCCATAAAACGCACAGACATTTCCCCCAAAGTGTGTCTTATGGAGCGAAATAGTGCCCCATCATTGGTGTCAGTGGGAGGAATAGTGCCCCATCATTGGTGTCAGTGGGGTGGGAAGAATCGTGCCCCATCATTGGTGTCAGTGGGAGGAATAGTGCCCCATCATTGGTGTCAGTAGGAAGAAACGTGCACCATCATTGGTGTCAGTGGGAGGAATAGTGCCCCATCATTGGTGTCAGTGGGAGGAATAGTGCCCCATCTTTGGTGTCAGTGGGAGGAATAGTGCCCCATCATTAGTGTCAGTGGGGGGGAGGAATAGTGCCCCATCATTGGTGTCAGTGTGGGGGGGGAATAGTGCCCGTCATTGGTGTCAGTGGGGGAAGGGGATAGTGTCCCATCATTGGTGTCAGTGGGAGGAATAGTGTCCCATCATTGGTGTCAGTGGGAGGAATAGTGCCCCATCTTTGGTGTCAGTGGGAGGAATAGTAAGTCATTGGTGTCAGTGGGGGGGAATAGTGCCCTGTCATTGGTGTCAGTGGGGGGGGATAGTGTCCCAACATTGGTGTCAGTGGGAGGAATAGTTCCCCATCATTGGTGTCAGTGGGGGAAGGAATAGTGTTCCATCGTTGGTGTCAGTGAGGGGTGGAATAGTGCCCATCGTTTGTGTCAGTGGAGGGGAGGAATAGTGCCCCATCGTTGGTATCAGTGGGGGAGAGGAATAGTGCCCCATCATTGGTGTCAGTGGGAGGAATAATGCCCCATCATTAGTATCAGTGACACCAATGATGGGGCACTATTCCTCCCACTGACACCAATGACACTTAACTTGCTGACCCCTGTTCCAGCATGGTGCTGCTGCTGCAGCCAGCATACCTGGTTGCAGCAGCACCATCAGCAGGGCACACTTACCTGTCAGCTATCCTTCTTCACTTCGACCTCTCCCTCACTCGATGTTCGTGGGGCCGCTTGGCTCCGCCTCCTCACAGGTGATTGGCCGCCTGTGTGCCTTTCCTGAGCTACAGTTCTGGCGCCCAATCACCGGTGAGGAGGCGGCGCCGAGCGGCAGCGCGAACATCGAGTGAGGGAATGGCCGGGAGTGAATGAAGGAGCAGAGCTTCCTGGACTGGATCGTCGTGGGACTGGGACACGGAGCCAGGTAAGATACAGCAGCCCCCTGCCCACCCATGTACTTAGTGTCCCTTCCTCGTGGCAAATATGCCCCTGCCGACGGGCCAGATAAATGTCCTCGGCGGGCCGCATGTGGCCCGTGGGCCGTAGTTTGAGGACCCCTGTATTAGGTGAACACATTCACAAAATACAAAAGGTTTCTGTAAATGAGTCATGAGGCAGGCAGAGCTGATGTGTGTGAACAGACAGAGTCCAGAGTATATCAATAGCTATCACTCCTGGAGGTCCAAAAAACATGCACCTCTTTAGACTTAAAGTATAACTAAAGACAAAACTTTTTTTTTTTTTAAGAGTAGATAGTGTGGAGAGGGATTAGAGCTCCTGTCAGTTTTTATTGCTGTCTCTGCCCCTATTAGGGAGATTCACCCTCTCCTATTTGTACTGTTTACCATTATCATTGAAAGTGAAAGTAAAAGAAAACCTCAACCTTTGGGTTGTCCCCAGGAAAGTAATAGGAGAGGAAATCTTCCAATGAGGGGACTAGTTTTGGTGACCTGATGGTTCCCTAGAAATTCCCTTAATTTGCAGGGATCTCCTGTCACTTCTGGTTTGGCTGAGACAGGACGAGAAAGGAAGTCTCTGCAATGGGGCACAGATAGTGGGAAAAAAAATCTGACAGGGGTTATAACCCTCACTTGCTCTATCCAAGATGAAAAAAAAAGTTTTGCCTATAGTTCTCTTTTAACTCACATCATGATTGCACATTTTACAAAGTGGCTGAACTCCTGGAGTTCAGGTTTAAACTTTAAGACTTCATATGTAGAGATTTATAGTATATAGATGTTGCCTGCACAATAGGGATACCTTTAGCAGTTGGAACAGCGTTTTCCTTGATGAATAGTGTATCTAAAGCCAAAATTTTGTTGGGGAAGGGTCAGAACTTGTGTCATGTTTTTACTGCAGTCTATGTTCCCACTGGGGAGATGAGTGCTTTCTTGATGTACTTGTTCTAGTTCTAATAAAAGAAAAAAAATGTGTGCTGGGTGGGGGTGGGGTGTAACCACTGTCTACTTAAAAAAAATTATTATATATATATATATATATATATATATATATATGGCTGACATCCACAGCTGCACACAAATTATACACAGCTATTTAACTCAGTCTCAGGCACACTGGAGCTTAGAAACCAATGTCTCTGCTACAAATACACTTAAAAGCTTGAGACAACTTTAGGTGAAAGCCAAAAGGAGAACAGAAGCTCAATGTAGATTATGATACTGCCTTTGGAAGAAAAAAAAAATCCCTAAACCACATTAGCACCATTAGTAGGGAACTGTCCTTATAACCCATTTTTAAATCGCAAAATGCTAACCATTAATCTGCTTTTTTTTGTTGTTAATCAAAACAAAATATAATTTATTTTGAACAAGTGGTGTAGCGCTGTAAATACTAAAATACCATATTGTCAAATCATAATATAAATAATATTAAAGTGAAAGAATATTAAGAAACCTTGTGTATCCTTATTACCTTAAAGGTGAAATACATTCCAAAGCAAATATAAAAACGAAGTGACCAATTCTAAAACCGTGACATATATCAATTGATATAAATAAATACACTCAGGTGCGGACTTCCTATAAAAGGTGTCCGTGATCACCAGCTCTATAGCCCTGAAGAAGTCACGTGTTAGCGTGCCGTAACGCGTAGGAATAGAGCATGGTGACGTCATTACACTTGGATGGTAATCGCCATCTTGGGACTCCTTGTATGTACACCTGACTGTGGGTTACACAGTACATGCCTGCTGGGTCTGTGACCCTTGTTTTTATGTGAGTAGCCATTTGGCTGTTTTTGAATTTTTTAAATAAATATCTAATTACTACACTATGGAAGTTCTATCTTTGACTTCTTTTTGAGCCATTTGAAGACCCCTTAAAGATGTGTTTGATCATTTACATGATTTCGGTGGGAGCTGTTCCTGTGTCCACTTAAAGGGAGAGATCCATCCAACCAGGGATCATCCGGGGATATTAATTGCTCTTTAACTCATTGAGGGTTGAATTTTTGAGGTGAGCGCACACACTAGAAGGTGATGGATAAAATTGGCACCATATATATGAGCATGCAACAAAAAGTGGAAATATAAAAGTTGATGAATTGAAAAATATGGATTTTTATATTATATATTTTTTGTGCTATAATTATTTTTTTCACTTGTTGGGACTAGTTTCTTCACTTCTTGGGACTTTTTTTTTATTTATTTATATAAATTGATATATGTCACGGTTTTATAATTGGTCACTTTGATTTTATATTTGCTTTGGAATGTATTTCACGTTTAATTAAGGTAATAAGGATACACAAGGTTTCTTAATATTCTTTCACTTTAATATTATTTATATTATGATTTGACAAAATAATTTTTTCATCTCATTTCTTTCGGGTGTTAGCAGCTACTTCATCCCTTGTGAGGATATTTGGCAGCGCAGGAATCCACCCCCATTTAATTTATTAAAATATAATTTATGTTTCCATGCCCATGCATTATTATGGTTTTCAATCCCATGATAAATTTGTCACTGAATTGGTCACCTGTGGTATTTATTGTAATCAGACCCTCCTCTCAAATTATTATAACAGCACACTTATTGGGAATTTTGAAATATTCTGTTGTCTTGTCTCCCAGTCACTGCAGAATAGTCCTGCTGTTATGAAAAGTGCAGTTATCTTTTTGCTCCTCCATCCCCCACCCTTGACCCAGATGTATAATTACCCAAATCAGAAGACCCAAGCTCCAGATGACATCTTTCTCGTGGGCAGAAGAAAACCACAGAAAATTCACTCAGGATCAGCCCCATAGAAGTCTATTGGGGTCTACTGAGCAGGCTCAGTAGTCCAATATTAGTTTACCTCTGAAATGGGGCAATTATCCTTCTAAAGGCAATCTATGGTCACAGCATACTTTCTTTTTATAACATCAGGATGGTAATACCCATACAATCAGTAATTTTTAACAAACCAATGTGTTTATTTGAAATATTTCATTTTATGTGAGCGGTGCCTGTCTGCTGGACATCTCTTTCCATAACTTCCTGCATGTTTTGCAGCTTATTCTCTGCTGTTTTGCCTTCAATTTATAAGGACTACATAGCTCATGGTACCTTGCTATCTGCAAGTGGTGATTCCTGTACTGACTCCACCTCCTGAAACGCCTCACTCTCAGCATTCTGTAGTTCAGACGTCAGGCTCTGCGAAATGTGACACAGAAGTACCTACTTACAGGGCATAATGAATGTGTCACAGGAAGTAAATGTGTGGGGGATCCTTACAAAGCATGTTTACAAACTAAATGATTGTT